CTTACTTCCTGCAACACCACGAACCAACCGGCAAGAAAGGGTGGTGCCAAGGGCAGCAAACTCAAAAGTGATACTACTACTTTACCGATGTTATTTGTTCTTGGGTGCCTTGAAGGCAGCAATGCCGGTGATCTCCCTGCCACAAACCCTGCAACGTTGTAGTAATGTGGCGTGTCACAGGGCAGTGTGACGATCAATACCGGCCCAGGGAGAAACAACCACAAACGTGTGGCGTAGGGCCAGAGGTGAAGGAGAGGGAAAGAGGGGGGGGGGTAACGTACAGCGCGTTGACTTCGTAAGTGCCCTCGTAGGTGTAGGCGGCCTCCATGTCGAGGAAGTGGCGCGCCACCACATTGTCGTAGATGATGCCGTTGCCGCCCAGCACCTCTCGTGCCAGTGCCACGCACTCACGTCCCTTCAGCGTGTTGTGCGCCTGCGTGCCGTGTGTGTGTGTGTGTTGTGGTGAGTGTGTGTGTCGTGCGCCGGCTTGAAGCGTCGAGCGATGAGTACCTTGACGAGGGAGGACTGGCCGCGAGTGACCTGGCCATGCTTGACGAAGAGCTCGGAGAGGCGCCAGGACATGAGGTACATGGCCTGGGCGTTGGCCAGCATGCGCACGAGCTTCTCCTGCATAAGCTGGAACGCGGCCAGCGGACTGCCGAACTGCTGACGCTCCTTCAGGTGTTTGAGCGCCGCGTCGTACGAGCCCATCGCCAGACCCACCGGAAGCCAACCTTCGCGTAATCTCTCGGTCAGCCCACGACACGACACACGCGACACACACACGACACACACAACGCAACACACACATACGCGACACACGACATAAAGAGCAGAAAGAAAGAGTACCGACAAAGATGCGGGAAGCTGAGAGGATGCCGGCGGTGCCCTTCAGGAACGAGTCGGCGTTGGGGAACCGGGCGCTCTCGGGCACCACGCAGTCCTCCAGGTAGATGTCCGCGCTGCACAAGAAAAGAAATGAGTCATCAACATAAGAATAAATGAAGAAAAGAATAAATAATAAATAATAAATAACCATATCCATAAATAATAAATAAATAGCCGTATCGCTAAATAAAAATTAATAAGTGGTAATTCGGCGCAGAGAGGAGGCGAGTACTTTTGCACGCAGCGGAAGCACATCTTGTTCTCGATCTTCTCCGTGCGAAGGCCCTTGGTGCCCTTTTCCACGAGGAAGCCGTTCACCTCGCCCGTCTCTTCGTTACGCGCCCAGATGATAATCACATCTGGTGTGTGTGTGCGCGCGCGTGTACGTGCGTGCGGCGGTGTGGGTGCGAAAGAGGGGGAGATAGAGTTGATGAGGTCATATGCCAGCGGCGCGCTGGGCTAAAGGTCGCAGGAGGCGTACCGGCGAAGGTGGCGTTGCCGATCCATCGCTTCTGGCCGTTGAGCCTCCAGCCGCCGGCCACCTTCTTAGCGGTCGTTTGCAGACCGCTGGCGTCGCTGCCCGCGCCGGGCTCAGTCAGTCCAAACGAACCTACGCCACACGACACACACACACACACACACACACATACAACGACACGCACGACAATCAGTATTTTACGGTAAATCAACGAACGGTGAATGAACATACCGACAGCGTCGGCGCTGGCCAGGCGAGGCAGCCACTTTTGCTTTTGCTCCTCGCTGCCGCACTGCTCGATGGACAGCATGACCAGGTAGGTCACGATGATGAAGAATCCGGCGAACTCCGAATTCACCCGCGCCAACTCCAGCACAACCATCGCCGCGCTCATGAACGACATGCCCTGTGTGTCGTGTGTGTGTGTGTGTGTGTGTGTGTGTGTGTGTGTGTCGTGTGTGTGATGGCCACACGCACACGTCAGTCTTGACCGGAACCACACACGCACGACAGGTAAGGAAGGCTGAGGTACGGGGCAGCCATAGCCCTTGATGGTGCCGCCCATGATGCCGAGCTCCTTGAGCTTGGGCAGCAGCTCGAAGGGGAACTCAGCCTTCTCATAGTACTTGTCGATCTGCACGAACACGCGTGGCCGAGCGACGGGTCAGCGGTGGCATTAGAAGAAAAGAAAAGAACAATGCGTACGATCGGGGCGACGTGGTTCTGGGCGAAGGCGCGGGCCTTGTCGCGCCACTGGCGCTCCTCGGGACCGAGCAGCTCCTCGAACCCCAGAAAGTCGGACGCTAAATTAAAAAGAAATAATAACATATTTATTATTTATTATTTATTATTTATGAGCTGGGAAGCTGGTGGGAACGGGAGCCGACCCAAACCAGCACGCGGAGGGAGGGGGAGGAGGTACGAGGCACGGCTACGGCGGCACCGGCAGTGGGCACAACCGCCAGGCGGGCGTCGCCTGTGTGTGCACCAACCAACACGAAAATGAGATGAGATTTGAATTTGCGATTTTGCGATTTTCAACGGTTGAGGGCCAACTCGTACGAGCAGCGGCCAGGTGTCCGTGCAGAACGGCGAGGCGCTTCGAGAGTAGGGCGGTGGACGAGTGCGAGGTCATGTTGCGCTTTGGCGGCGATTATTTTAAATAAAATAAAAAGAAGAGGTACCCTGAAGGTTGTTTTTCTTTTCTTTTACCAAATGACAGGGGCATTCCGATGACTTTCAGTGGGGCAGTGCAAGCAAGCCGCCTCCAAGTGGTTACATCTCAGCCACTCAGGAGGAACTCAGGAGTGTTCAGTTTCATTGCAATCAGGAGACCTTTGATAAACCTGGATCGCTTGCTTGCCAGGTTTTAGGAATAAAAAGCAAATAAAACAGAAAAAATCAAAGCAAAAAAAAAGATGGAAGAACCAAGTTGCACTGGCACCCGCCGGCACTACTCGTGGCTGAGTGACGAGGAAGAGGAGAGCGACGATGGGTGGCCTTCGTTATTCGACGGCCAGGTGCTTTCGGACGAAGAGGAAGTGGAAGAGGACTGCGACGATGAAGACGAGACAGAAGTCATCCGTACCCGGCGCAGACGGCGCGAGGAACAGGAAAGGCGCCAGGCCCTGCGCAACCGGCCCAAAGAATACTGGGACCACCACCTCGACCTGCCTCCACCCACCGACGACGACGGTAGACCACCACCTCCCCCTTCATCAATTTTTTTTCATTTTTCAAAAAGGAACAAATTAAAAAAAGAAAAGATAATTAATTGGAGCAATAATCGCGCCATAGGCTATGTGGTGTCGTTTGCGCCGGAGGACAGCGAGGGCTACCTCCCCTTCCTGCGCCGGCACGGCTTCTGCGTCGTTCGGATTCTGTCAGACGAGGTTCGGCTTTCTCCCCCTTTGTGTGTGCTGTACATCGACGATGGTGTGGCTCATTACCGCGTGGTGCTGGTGTGAAGGAGTGCCAAGCGTCAATCCAGGAAATGCTGCAGGACACTAGCGAACGCAGGAGGAAGGCGGCAGTACCGCCACACAACGCGGACGCACCACAACGCACTGAGAGCACAACGACTACAACGACGATGCCGTCGTCGTCTTCGCCTCGGCCACGAATGACCCGAGTCAGTTTGGACGATCCGCGCACCTGGGAAGGCAAGAATTGGCCCTACCAAGGTACTTTGCGCGCACACTGTTGTCAGGCATGCCAGTCAGCTTACTGAGCTGGTGCGGCGGTTGCTGGCAGCAGGGAAGTTTTTGTTCCACGAACCGGCGTTTGGCCAACAGGCCTTCAACAACCGCACCAACGAAAAGCTGTACCACGTCTTCACTCAGATCTTTGGCGAAGTAACTCTCCACACACGACACACACGACACACACGACATCACACACGACACACGGCACACGACACACACGACACACACGACACACGACACGCGAGGTTCTTATGCCTCTTTCTATCTTGCCTTGGCCAGACGAAGCTGTGGTGCACGATCGACAAGTGGGGCCTGATGCGCGGGTCCAAGGACCTCGTCTGGCGTCAGGGCACGCCACACCCACCCTCAGACGCCGACGAGGCGGTGGAGACGACGGCGGAGGCGGAGGCGGGGGCGGGGGCGGTGGCGGTGGCGGTGGCGGTGAAGACGACGGTGGATCGGCCGGACTGGCGGTGGAACCTTCACCCGCACTGGGACTGGAACCCCTGGGTGTACCAGGCCATGGTCGACCGAGGCCTGCCCCGCATGTACCAAGGCATCATTGCGCTGGACGACTGCCCCGAGGAGGTGGGCGGCCACATCACCATCCCCGGCTCCGCGGCCTATCTGCCGCACTGGGTACCCACAACATTCAGACAACGTCGCCCTCTTCTTCCCCCCCCCCTTCTTTTCTCAATAGTTTGTGCGCGAGCAGGTCACAGAGCACAAGATGCCGCATCAGCATTGGAAGCTGGTGCCGGTCCCCGAGAATGACGCGCTGCTGCGCTACACACGACGAGTTCCGATGAGGCACGGCGGCTCAGCTCAAGCGACAGCTTCGCTGGGAAGTTGCTAATCGTTCTCTTTTTGATTGATGCAAACCAGGCGCGGCCACATCGTCATTTGGGACGCGGGACAAGCGCACTGCAACTTCCCCAACAACAGCCCCAAGTGCCGCATCTACCAGTTCGTGAGGTACACACGCACGCACACCAACGTTCCATTGTATGCCGCACGCAACCGCTCGCTTGATTGCTCAACAACACGACACACACGGCACACACAACACACGGCACACACGACACACATGACACGTGACGCCAAGGATGATGCCGGCTCTCAAGGAGTGTGCGGTGAGAGACAAGCACTCGCCGTTCGCCGTCGTCCAGAAGTACCCCAACGTCAAGTTCTGGGAAGACGTGGAGCTCACTCCCCTTGGGCGCAAGCTCGTAGGACTCGACCCCTGGGATTGAAATCCAAGCTTTGGTGACCAGTAAATTTGTAGGAGATATCGCTACATTGTAGATGTGCGATGACCTATGGCAAAAGCACTATGGCGGGATCGCAACCATGTGTTGATACATGGACGTGCTTGTCTGTCACTCAATACACTAAAAAGGGGAAACTCCATGCTGCGACCTTCCATCCAGGTAGTGGCAGAGAAATGTAAAAACAGGAGATATCCTCGCTCACAATAAACTACGTTGTTGTTGCTATGCACAACATGAGATCATCAAGGGAAAGTTCCATTCCACCTGGCCACACGGCCTGACTTGTACGTCGCCAGCATGAACGCCAGGCCGTCCTCGCTCAACGACAGCGACACCAGATCTCTCTGGCCGGGCAGCACCCAGGCCGGCTTGGGGAGGGTGCCCTCGGCGGTGGTAGTTTGCTGGTCAAAGCAGTCGATGGCGAGCAGATCGCCCGTGGTCTCGTCCTTGAGCAGCGCCCAAGTCTCATAGATCGCCTGATGATGCCACAGTGAGTTTCATATTCGATGAGATCATGCGGCGCCTCAACACACATGTCGCGATAGCACCGACATACCATCAGGCTCGCCCTGCTGGACTTCTCGTCTTCCGCCTTGAGGGTGACGTTCAGAGTCACGCGGCCAGTCGAAGGGTCCATGCAGATAAGCCCTGTGCGCTGGTCGTTATTGGGCGAGAACCAGGTGGACACACTCGTGCACATGCGCTGCGCTCCGGTGCTGGAGTTGTGCGCCGTGCCCTCGTAGGAGAAGGCCACGTAAGACGGCGTGCCCCACTCCAGGGGCCAGGCGAAGCGCAGGCTGCCGTCGGCCAGTGAGTAGGCGGAGAGCTGCGAGCGCCACGTCGGGGCATCGAACGTGGTGTTGGTCACCACCACGACGTCCTCCATTGGGCGCGAGATGGCGATCCCCGCAGCCGTGTCAAAGCCCTCGATGGACCAGAGGGGCTTGAGTGTAGATGGCTGGAGGCGCTCGAGAGTGAGAGAGTCGCGGGTGCCATTACGCACAAGGTAGGAGTGCAGCAGCGCCCCGCTGCGCGGTGCCGGGAAGAGGTTCGGGGCGGTCCCAAAGGTGTTGGTGCTGGGAAAGGCATGGGTGGCAGCGGGGCGGTCTAGGCCGTAGTCGGGAGCCTGCAGGCGGAGGAGCAGGTTTTGGGGGTAGTCCCACTTGACGATGTAGACGAACTCCCAGCGGCTGAGCAGCACCGTGTTGCTATTGCGATCGTAGTCGAGCCCGTGCGACAAGCGCTCCCTCCCCGTCTGTGTGCATCACGCGGCGGTTGGTTCACACAAGAGCTCTGATCAGAATAGAGTTGTTGGTTGATTGAAGCAAAAGAAGATAAGAAGAGGGGTTCGATGCCTTGGGGTCGAGAAGGCTGAAACCCTTCCAGGCAAGGACGAGATTGCCGAGGGTGACTACTCGGCTGAAGTCGGCCACAAGAGCGTCGCGCCTCAGCGCCGCCGCATTTGTGTACGGCACGGTGTAGTTCTGGCCCTGGTATGTGCCCTCCACGCCGGAGTTGTTCCACAACACTGTGCCGTCGTCCAACGAAAGGCCCACCAGACAGATCTCCCAGTCCGGGCCTGTCAGCGTGACGGTGGCCACCGGGGTATTGACCGATACGAGCGCGTTCACCTGCGGTGCCTGCTGGCCGGGAGCGAGGGCAAGCGTGCAGGACCAGGCCAGTCTCAAGGGCGGCGAAGCGACAGCATCGGCGAAGGTGGCTTCGACCGCTACGCAGCCGAGGAGGCCGAGGATGAACGTGGTGGTGAGGAGGAGAACTAAGTTCCGCATGACTGGTTGTGCCGAGGGAGTCCAAACGGAAGCAGGCTTTTTGAGTTTTTGTCGGAGAATAAACGTTATTCTCCGGCTCCGCGTCATAAACCCTTACCATATTCTTCTGTTGCCACTTCTCCAGGTTCAGGAAAGAGCAGCTTCGAGAAGCTTCCCCTGCTTTTGCGATAGAAGCACCCATCACCGGCAAACGGGATCCCGTTGTGCCTGATGCCCTTTTTTGGCGCGCCAAAAACCGGTGTAAAATTTGTGTGCAGCTGAACTGTCTGAAACACGTTTCATATGGTTCAAAATTTTGGTTCAACGGAAGGGCCGTAGGGCGCTGGGGAGGCTGGGGAGGTTGGGTTCCCATCTATTCAGCTTGGCTAGGCCTCCAGCCACTTGGTGAGGTAGTCTACAAAGATGAGGATGTGCTTGTTACCTCTCAATCAGGGAGAACATCCTGCACCACAAATAGTGTTGCCTGGCTTGCTCAACAACAAAGTTGTCCTTTTCTCTCAAAAGTGTCTGGCTAGTAGGTTGTTGTGTGTGGCTGCCATCACAGTCTCAACAAGTGCTGCTGGCACTACCAGCTGGCAGTGGGTGTTGGTGCATTGGTCTCCACACTTCTTCCACCAGAAGTGGTGGAGGAGGCCATCCTCATCAAGGTCCATCTGCCCAGCCTCAAGGATGATTCATTGGCTCAGCTTCAGGTCATCAGGTAGCTTCTGAATGTAAGCAATGAGCAGCTGAAGGTCATGGTCCTCCCCCTGTGCTCAATGAACATTGTTGATGGAGAGTTCCTCATACACAGCCTCCTCAGTCTTCTTCAATAACATCCTCCACTTCTGTACATTTTCTTAAAATCATGCCCAAGCTTTCCTTGATCTGAGCAGGTTGAACCTCAAGGTCCCTTTTTATGTACAGATTTCCCATCCAACACATGTTGGATTGCAATTTTGCCGACACCCATTTTTTAAGGTCTTTTCTTGCATTTTCTGCACATTTTCTGTTCACATTTCTCAGATTTTGTGCATTGAACTGGTCGAAGTGTACTGATGACTGTTTATGGAGGGTGTGCAGATACTGGTGTTACAGCTCTGACAGTTGCACTCACAGACAGAACTTCATTAAAATCACTTTTAACTCCACAAATTCCAAGTTTTTACGACATCATTTTCATCTCAAGTCTCTCAATATCACTTATATGCAGCAGTCTAGCATGTCAAAATCACACATGCAGATCCAAATCTTCAAAACTGCCCTATAAATCAAAAATGTCAAATCTCACACAATTTTAGCACAACAAAAATTCCAGTCATTTGTGACCTCTCATTTCAAATGACCACGAGTTCCAGGTGGGATGGCCACCACCTCTGTCACCCCACTGTTGCCCCATGCAACACTGATGCTGCCATCAGTGGGAATGCCCCTCTCAGCTCCATACAAGCCTGTGGTGGTGCCTGCAGCTGCTACTGGGCTCCATAGTGGCTGTTAACTCTGTGCTACTGACCAGTATCAACTCCTCCTAATCTGTGGGTTGCTGTGTGTGCTGATTCAGATGAGGATACCCAGGACTTTTGGATTGGTAAGATCATCAGTGTCCTTTGAAAGAGGCTGAGTGTCCACTGGTGGAACTTCAGCAATGGTTGGGCTGACCATGGCACTGAGGGAACTGTCCCAATTTGCTCTGTTCTGGCATGTGGCTTCACCTTCCATCCAAACTCTGGAGTCCCACCAGACACACTCCAAGAAATCTACAGATATGAGCACTCTGTTGTGTGCCTGTCACCACTGGTACCAGTCCCCTGGGTGGGGGTGAACAAGAATCTGAGATGATGATGCTATGACTCCTTCAACAGCAAGGCATTCCCTTACCACATGACCCCACCCTACACAACACAATTTCCTCAATGGATCTACTGCTTTGGCTTAGCCCAGGAATTTTGAACCTTAGAAGACACTGCCACCATCCTCATCTTCGTCCTCGTCTTCGCTGTTGCTGGCATCCTCGCCTCCATCGCCTTCTCCTTCTCCTTCCTCCTCCTCCCCACTGCCTTCTTCCGCCTCACTACGTTCTCCCTCCTCCCCTTCTTCTTCTCTCTCCTCCACTTCCTCCTCCTCCTGGTCGCGTTTCTCCTCCTGCTCCTGCTCCTCCTCGCCCTCGTCGTCCGTGGTCTGCTCGGGCTCGGCCTGCACCTTCGGTGGTGCCGGTGCCTCCTCGGTCTCCATCGCCGTAGGGGCCTCCACTCGGCTGAAGGTGGGCGGCACCGGGAACGCGGTCGCCTCCTCCTGGACCTGAGCCGGAGCCGCGGGCGTGGGTACAGCCTCGGCGGTGGCGGCGGCGGCGGGCTTGGGCGTCTCCGGCAGACTGAAGACCGAGGGCGTGGGAATGGTGACCGACGGGTCGGTGATGGATACGAGCGTCGGCGCGGGGGCGGCGGGCGGGGCCAGGGCAACCGGCTCGACAGGCGCAGCAGGTGCGGCCACGACGGCCGGGGCCGGGGCAGCGGGTTCGGCGGCGGCGGCGGCCGCTGGGACCTGCGCCGGGGCGGAGACCGGGGCAGCGGCAGCGGCGGGCGGCTGGCGAAGGCCGCCTCGTTTCGCCCATCGACCCTGCGGACCGCTAGGCACGGCCGGCGCAGCAGCGACAGCAGTGGTCGCAGCGGGTTCGGCCTCCGGTGTGGCGGGCTCCTCGGTGGCCTTCCGCTTCATGCCGGCAGCGGCGAAGGCCCTGGACAGCGGCGTGGGCGTCGGGGTGGTGGCTGCAGCCGCGGGCGGCGGGGTCACAGGCGCAGCAGTGGCGGGGGCGGGGCTGCCACCGCGGCCGCCGCGTGCGGCTCCTCGTCCCCGAGCGGGCGCCTGTTCGACTGCGCCGCGCATCTGGCCTCTGCCACGCCCGCGCGTGCCGCGGCCGCCTGCAGGGAACGGGGTATCACCACCAGTCGTCGCCGTGGTCGGAGGCGTCGAGGGCTGGGCCGGACCCTTGGCCACCATCGTCGGGCTCGGCGGTGCGCCAGGGCGGTTCCTATTGATGAAGGAAAAGCAAAAAAGAAATTAGATCAGACTCTAAACCGGTGGCTTAAGGAGGCAACGGCCGTACCCCATGGGGACCGCTTCGAGCGGGCGGGCGCGAGCGGCCACGTAGACGGGAGCAGGAGCGGCGGCAGGAGCGGCGGCGGCAGGTTTCTCTTTCTCGGCCTCGAGCACCATGTCATCGGACGACGGCGGCGGAGTGGCGAAGACGGAACCCTCCGCGGAGGCCTCTGCGGTGGGCGCCTCCTCCTGGACGCGGGCTCGCTTGTTGTTGGTCGCGGCCGCGCGCAGGGGAGGCACCGGGGCTCCCGCCGCCGCCTCGGGCGCTTCGGGCCGTCCGCGCTTGCCCGTCAGCGTGGCCGTGGCCGTGGCCAACGGCACCGCAGGCGAGCTGTGGACAACAACGAGAACAGAGGGGAGTTGAGACCGTCAAAGTAGGAACGAAAAGGAGGGAAGAAAAGGAGGGGAAAAAAAGAAAACTTACCTGGGCGCGGCGGGTGCCTCGGGTTCGGGCGCAGGGACGAAGGTGGGAGGAGTCGCGGGAGGAGTGGCCGCAGCTCCGGCGCCGCCCAGCTGCTGCTGCTGCTTCTGGCGGCGAAGCAGAATCTTGATTTTCTCCATTTTTTGGTCCTTCTCGTGGAGCGTCTTGTTCAGCTGCTCCTTCTCCGCCGTCAGCTCCGCGTTGGCTCTGTTACACGTGTGTGTGTGTGTGTGTGTGTGATGCGACGTAGTTAGTATGCAGTATCTTACACCGGTCACTGTGTGTGTGTGTGTGTGTGAGCGGACACGCACCTATCCTTCTCGGCCAGCTGCTTGAGGCACGACTCGAGTTTGGTCGTTGCCTCCGCACAGGCCTGTGCGTTCTTCTCGGTCTGCTCCTTCTGGGCGTCCAGTGCCGCCTTGAGCTTGTCGAGAAGTGGTTTGGCGGTCTTGCCGTAGTTCACGGCCCGTTGAAGCTGCAAAGCCCGTGCACACGCACCACTCCGTTAGTACATCCTCTCTAGGGTGGTCCCACAAGCGCGTTAGCCCAGAGGTGTACCTCAACAGTCTTTTCATCGAACTCTTGCCTGAGCCTGGCCAATTCCTTCTGGGCCTCCTCCAACTGTGTCTTGGTGGTGGCGAGCTCCTCCTCCAGCTGCTGCGCCTTCTCCGTGATCTGGAAATATACGTTGGTGTCGCCATAGAAGAGAGAGGCAAAAGAAGCGAATGAGTCAACCAATGGTGGACCACCCAGACGTGTAAACCAAGAAGTTGATGAGTCAATCAATCGCACGCACCTTTCTGTGCTCCTCGGGGTCGATCCTCTTGATGTTGGCCTGGTAGTCCTCCATCCTCTTCTTCCACCTATAATCCCAATAAAATTAATAAATAAAGGATGATAAAAGAATCGCAGAAAATGCGGGTGATCGCAGCGAGAAAAATGATATGTCGTACCTGTCGCGCTCTTCCACCAGAGACTTGATCTCGAGCTTGAGACCGTCAATGGTGGCAACCAGCTCCCTGTTCAGAGGATTCGTTAGTAAGGTACTCTCGGGGGGGGGAGAGATGCGCGTATAAAGGTACCGCTTGCCGGCAAGGAGCGGGTTGACCTGCTTCTGCAGCTCATCGTATTTGGTCTTCCACTCTCGCACCTCGGCCTGCAGCTTCTCAACCTCCGACCTGGTGGCCAGCTTCAAGGTGAGTATCGCTCTGTGGCAACGACGGTCGAGGCGGCTACGTACCTGAGCATGGCGTTGGACTCGCGGTACAGGTTCAGCTGACCGATCTGTCCCACGAGGTCCTTGTGCTCGGCCTCAGAGCGCAGGTGCTGGGCGGTCCTGGATGGCGCAGACGCACGAATAGCGGTACTCGTCAGCCACTCCCCATAATTCCAACGACGAAACAACCAACAACGGTACGTTACCTTTCTTGTTCGGCGTGCAGCTTGCCTCGCACCTCGTCCAGAGCACGAGTGGCATGCTCCCACTGCTGGCGATATCTGCGCAAAGAGGAAAAAGAAAAGAGAAAATAAGTTCAATGAATTGATATCGTTGAGGGGTAAAGAGCGAAAGCGGCGCACGCACCTGGTGGCCTCCTGGTGCGCCAACTCGTGCTTGCACTCGACGATCTCCCGCTCCTTCTTGAGGTAGCCCACGAGCTGTCGGAGCTCCTCGATGGTCTTCTCCTCGCCCGAGGGGGTGTAGCCCTCGGAGACCTCGCCCGCGGCGGCTTGGATCTGCGCCGACTTGGACATGAGCGACTGGAGGTGCGCGTGCAGCACCTCGTTTTGGCCCTGGGAAAGAGATAAACAAAAAATAGTGAGATCATTGGTTACTCACGCCAAAAAACTGGTTTGTCGGCAGCAAACAGGCCAGCTGGCATTGTACCTTGAGGTCGGCGACGCGGGCCTGCAGCTCGTCGAGCTCCTTCTGGTGGGACTTCTGTTCCTCTTCCCAGGTAGCCTTGAAAACACAGATACACACATCAGCAAATGCTATAATAAATATATCGTGTGGCTGCACACCTTTTCGATCTTGGTGGCGGAAGCCAGCTGCTCGTATTTCTCTACCGCTTCACGGGTGGCATGCGACTGCTTCGAAAGGTCCTCCTGGTGTGCGGAGATATCGACCGGTAAACGACATGTGAGTTACAAAATCACTCCCGCTCTGTGGGAGTATGACGAACCTTGATCTTGGAGAGGAGCGACAGCGAGTTGGCGTGGATCATGACCTCCCTGTCGTAGTTGTTCTGGGCCTCGGCGCACATTTCCTGGATTGCACAGCGGCACGTGCCACATCGGTGAGCTCATTTGTCGACACATGATTGATGAGGTGCGTGTGTACCTTGTGCACATGGAGGTCCTGTCGCAGGGCCTGCTCCTTGCTGAGGGCCTCCTCGAGCTGCGAGTGCATCTCCCGCTTCTCCTTCTCCACCTTGGTGACCTGGGCGTGCAGGTTCTCGATCTCCTGGCCGGCGGTCTCCTGGTAGGTGGCAAAGGCCGCCTGCTGCTCCTCGTACTTGACGTGGAGCTCGGCGAGGGTCTCCTTGGACTGCTTGAGCGCTGCCTCGGTGTCCTTGAGGCGCTGCTCGATCGTCGCGCGGTACTGGTCGTTCGTCTAGATCACGCACAGGGGGTTAGTTGCATTCTTTCACTTTTTCTTTTCTTATCTTTTCTTTCTTTTCCCCCGAGTCCCCGGAAGCAACGAACCTCCTGGAGCTCCTTCATCGCCTTTTCCCTGTCGTCGGCAATGACACGGTAGTGGGCCAGGTGCTCACGCTCCTGGAGAGACAAAGCGTTAGGCAACTGTGTGTGTGCGCGCGTCGCCAACATTGCAATCAAGATGCGAGTAACGAACCTGGCTGAGCTCCTCGCGCAGCCCGGCAATGACTAACTCGGCCTCGCGCGAGATGCCCTCTCCAGTGGCTGCTCCCTCGGCAGCAGGTCTAAGCACGCCACGCTGGCCCTGGAGAGATAAACAGCATGAGCCACTGTCAACCACCAAAAGAACAGACCACCAGAGAGCAGCAACTGCGGCGGTACCTTTCTCTCGCTTTCCAAGAGCTGCTGTTGGAGAGAGCGAATCTGGTTGTTGAGCGTCTGGACAGTGGCCTCATGCTTGATCGTGGCCTCGCGCAGCTGTTGCATCTCCTTCTCCCTTTCGGACAGCTTCTGACTCAACTGTTGCAGTTGGTAGGGTCAGGGCCACTCGTTAGCGCTATTTACCAACCAAGGCTGCGTTATGCTTTTTTCTCAACAGCATTCCCGGCAAGTACCTCGCTGTTGCTCAGCTCGGCCGCGCGAAGCTGGTCTCTGATACGCTCGTCGTCCTCCTCCCTGACCCTAAAGAATGCGAATCACATCAATCGTCAGCCAGAGATCAAGCCAAGAATATACAATTCATAGAGAGTGTGAGAGAGAAGGCGTAGACGTAGACGGTCAGACGTACTTGCGTGCGTGTTGGAGCTCGGAGCGAAGGCGCTCGACCTCCTGGGAGGAGCTCTTCTTAAGCGCGTCTTCGCTGGCCTCCCGGGCGGCCAGGAACTTCTGGAGGTTCTGGGACAGCGACTGGTTGTGGGCGACCTCCTGTCGGAGCCCGGTGATGTCGTCGACCAGTCGCTTTTCGGCCTTGGTCAGCGCCTCCTTCTCGGCGCGCAGGATGCCCACTTGCTCGCGCAGCCTCCTCGATTCCTGCTGCACGACCTCCATCTCCTGACGAATGGTCTCGATTTGCTGCATAATTTCGAAAAAATAGAGAAATGAGGGAAACACATGAGAAATTGAGCTCAACAACATCATCGCCGAGCGAGGCCGTACCATCTGGTGAGCACCGACCGAGGCCGAGTACTCGGCATTGCGCGTACGCAGTGCCTTGAGCTCATTGGTCTGTCCTTCGGCGGTCTGCTTCAGCTCCTCGTATCTGAAATATTTTTTGGTGGTGAATCAACTAATACCCTGCTTTGAAGAGAAGGTGGGGCAAGGAAGGTACCTCTGCTCGGCAAAGGTCTGACGGGACTGGGCCTTGACGACTTCGCTGCGGAGCTGGCTCATTTCCTCCCGCTGCTTATCGATGCGCTCCTGTAGGTCGCATCGGAAAAGCCAAATCCAAGTCAGTGACTGAAAGAGTTGACTGAGCTACCAAAGCAAGAGTCAAGGGCTGAACCTGGTAGTCCCTGTCGTCCTTCTGCTTCTCCTTCCGGTAGTTGTCGAACTCGTGCTGGAGATCTTCGTAGAGGGGCTTGAAGTCCATCCGACTGTCGTCGGCCTTCAATTCGAAGAAGCGGTGCTCGGTTAGTACCTGGCAAGAGCGAGTGTGTGTGTTGTGTGTGTCACATACGTGTGCGAGAGCGCGCCGCTCGTTGCTCGAGGGCTCGGGGATGGCGGGGTCGGACGGAACGGCTGCGGCAGGAGACTGACGCAGATCGGCGATGGCCTTGAACATATCGCGCTGTCGCATGACCACCTGAAGCTTCTCCGTGATCTGCGCCCGTTCGGCCTTGAGCTGCTCCAGGCGCTTGTACACCTCCTGCATCTTCTCCTGGGTCTTCAGCTCCACCTTCTTATCAACCTCGGCCTCCAACTTGTGGACCACGCGAAGCAGTCGACGGTTGTTCTGCTGAATCTCTTGGATGTCCCTGCACGGAAAGAGGAGACGGACGTCGGTGGTGGGTGGTGGTGGTGGTTAGCTTCAGTGAAAGCCAGACTTGTGAGCATGCTGGAGGATGGCGCACTTGAAGGTGACAAGCTCGGCCGGGATGATGGTGTCGGTGCTCTCCAGTGAGGCGGTGCTGACCGACGAGGGAGGCGCAGGACGAGGAGGATATCCGGTCTTTTCCATGCACTCGGCCAGAAGCTGCTGGACCTGCTTGGCCAGGTCGTTGTTTTCCTTCTTGAGGGCCTCGGCCTGCTCCTTGGCCACCTCCATCTCTCGCATGGCTTGCTCCAAGCTCTGTGACATCTGGGTGTACTCTGTCTGCATCTTTTCGTACGCTTCCTGCTGCTCCTCGAAGATGGGCGCCTGCCACCACACACACACACACACACACACACACACACACACACACACACACACACACACACACACACAAAAGGATCAGCCGGGGCCTGATGCGATGTCGATCGAGGGTGGGGAAAAAAGAGAAAGAAAAGAAAATAGGTACCTTCTCCTCGACCTCCTTGAGAATCTGGTTGAGGTAGCTGTTGATGCGCCTGTTCTCGTTCTTGAGCAGCAGCGTGGTCTTCGTGGCCTCCTCGTACTTGTGCTGCAGGGTCAACGCCAGGTTGGCACCCTGTCGAGTGGAGGTGTACCGTTCTCACGTGTGAGCACAGAGAACAGTTTTTCGCTTCAAACAAATAGCAGTGCTTCAAAAAGAGGGCAAAGAGCTATACCGGAGGGAGAGGGGAGCCCGACCCAGCCTGCACCGAGGCGTTGATTGTCGAGAGACGCTGCTTGAGCTCCTTGACCTGCGAGAGCAAACCGACGCAGGCAGTAACGATCAGTAATGGAAAAAAAGGTGGTGGCGGGCGGCGGGTTTGCCTGCCGTACCTCGTCGGCAGCCTTGGCGTACTTGTCGGCAATCTTGTGCTTTTCCTCGAGCACTCGCGACAGCTGCTCCTCGTACTGCTGCTTGATGGACGACATGGAGGCCTTGGCCTGCTCCACCACCACTGTGGCGCAGAAGAAAACAGCAGCAGCAGCGCATTTAGCCTCCAAACAAATCGATTGGCGGCGATGACAGCTCAAGAGGGTGGAGAGCGAGCGTTACCCTCGAGTTCCTTGGCCTTGCTGCCGGCTTCGGTGGCCTTGTCTTCGTGAAGCTGAACCAGCCTGTTCCTGATGTTGATCTCACTCTCGAATTGCTCCTTGGTGAGTTGAAGTTCGTCCTGGGCCGATCGGATGTCGTCCATGTACTTGCCCACAAGCGCCTGCAGCACCCAGCAAACAAACAAAGGGGGTGAGCCTCAAACAGAGACAGAGAGAAAAGACAGCGCGGGAGGGAGAGTGATCGGAACCTACCTCAAGCTCGACGTTGCGAGAACGGAGCGTGTTGACGCTCTCCTTGAGAATCTTGTTCTCGGCCTCGGCCTCTTCGGCTTGAGCAGCTCGCTCAAACAACTGCGAAGACTGTTGGTGTGCGATACGAATAATAACAATAAACGATCAGTTGATGCGTCACACGAACACCAGGCCTCGACATACAATTTGGCTGATAAAACAAACGAAAACGGTGTACTGTACCTTGTCCTTGCGCGTTTGCAGCAGCTCATCGGACCTGCTCTGCAGCTCCTCTTCAAGCCACTTGTTGTGCTTGATCAAGCTGGCATTCTCTTGATCGAGACGCGAAGACTTAAGCTGTTGATGTTATATGCCATCAACAACAACGCGTCAGCTTAGAAGTCTAGCAAGTGCGGGGCGTGTTGCGTTATACGCAAGGTGCGAACCTGGAGAGAGAGCAGCTCGGCCTCCTGCCTTTGCACTCGGATGTTGAGCTCGGACGACGCACTCGCAGAGTCCACTCTGCCCTCCGTCATGGCGCGTACCTCCTCTGCACCATTCGAGACAGAAAGAGTGGTAAGCGTCAGAGTCGAGAATGAGAGCCAAAGAGAGGCCTGGCGCACCCTCCAAGAGTTTGATTCTGGAGTTCTTTTCGTTGATGGAGTTGAGCATGGTCCTCCGCTCGCTGTGCAGCTCATCGGTGGACTTGGTGAGCTCGGTCAGCTTGGCTTCCTTCTCGCCGAGGGCCTTGACGAGGTCGTGCACGCGGTCCTCCAACTGCTTCTCCCTCACAGCTGCAGAGGCCCACAATCACGGGTCACGCCATGAGCACCCAACCGCGCGTGTAGCGGTCGGCGAGACGGCAGACATCTTTGCGCACTGCACTGCTGGGAGTTGGGGCAAAGTAGCGCACACTACGTACATGTGTCTTGGTGCTCGTCTGCGAGTTTGTGCTGGGAGGCCTTGGTCTCGGCGAGCTCCGCGCTTACCGCCTCAAATTTGCTTTCCAATTCAATAAACAAATGCTCTGCGCGGGTGGGCACAAGAAATTTGTAAGCCGATTGATTGGTATCAATCGGACAACACTGCAATTCAGCAGGGAATATACCATTTTTGACCTTGACGTCGATCATCTCGGCATCGAGTGCACGGATTCGCTCGTGCAGCGCGATGATCTTCTTTTCAGCCTTCTCCTTCACCTCCACTGCGAGGGGATCATCCTTGTATGTGTCCCATTCGCCCTCAGCCAAGAAGGTGACGTCCCCCTCTGCCGCATTTACGTCCTCCGGCTTTGCCGACGTCATGGGCGGTGAATCCTCACCCTCCATCTTCGAGCGACGGCCTTACGCGCAGACGACCTTCTCGAGATTGTAATCGATCGATGCAAGGAGACAAGAAAAAGGCGCGAAGCCCGTTTGAACAAGAAAAAAATCAAAAAAAAGTAGAAGGAAATGCAAGGTGCAGGAAGAGAAAAATAAAGAGAAAATTAAGAAGATGGAGGCAGTGGGGAGCAGCACGCTCGCGGAGCAGCGCGACTCGGCGCGTGTGAGCAGCAACGACGAGGCACTGTTGGTGCTGTGCGACGAAACCAAGCGCTCGCGGCTCGAGGAGTACCTAGCGTCGCCTGTCTTTGGGTGTCTCCCGATTGAGCCCTCAGCCTTCCAGGCCTCCGGCACCCCGCCCCTCCCAACCCCAGTAGTAGTCCCCCTCCTTCTTTTACTATTTTACTATTTTGTTTTTATTTCCATATTTTTTAATTTATCTATTTATGGTTATTTGTAGGCAGTGGATGAGAACGCGGCGCCGACGGAGGTGGCCAAGAAGCGAAAGAGGAAGAGGAAGCGAGCCGTGCTCGACTCGGTGTGCCTTCTCTTCTTGCGCCTGCCCTGTTCACCATCTTCATCGCCGTCGGCCGTCGAGTCGACTGTGGAGCCGACGTCGGCCGCTTCTTCTCCGCCGCCGGCGCTGCGGCAGCCCTCCGCCGCGTTCGGGGCCTTCATGCGCGAGCGGCTCTTCCACCACCCGTTCCTCTACCGCTACGCCAAGTCCTTCTACATCGTCACCAACGCCTCCAACGACCTTGACTTCCTCCAGGACATCGCCCATGACGCCATCCGTACCAACAAGGCGCGTGTGCCGTGTGCCGTGTGCGTGTGCGGTGCGCGTGTTACTGACTGACTGACATCGCTGCGACGTCGCAGGTGCTTCGACTGTGCGTGTTCCCCAAGTCGCGAACCGAGGCGGTGGTGAACGCGCTGCCGGCCGAGGTGCAGCTCCACCCGAAGCAGTTCACCCACGTCCTCTCCATCGCCCGCGAGCGCGGCCGCTACTACTACGGCCTCGCCCCCAAGGAATTATTCTGGTGTGTGTGCGCGCGCGCGCGCGCGTGTGTGTGTGTGTGTTGCGCATGCGTGTGTGTGCGTGTGCGGGGACCTGAGAGCTGGTGAGGCAGCTGGTGAGTGATTTGAGACGCGATCGTTAGGGGACCTGAGAGCGGCGTGCACTCGGTGCAGATGGACAAGGTGTCGCGGGCGTACCACAAGATGAAGGAGGTCTTCACGCGGATCGACTGCCTGCGGCTGGCCGACACCGCCCAGTGGACGGCCATCGACGTGGGCGCCGCCCCCGGCGGCTGGTACACGCCCCCCTCTTCTTTCCCGAACCTCCCTCCCCCACTCATATTGACGCGTGTCGTGCGTGTCGCGGTGTGTGTCGTGTCGCGCAGGACGCAGTACCTGAGCCCGCTCATGAAGCAGGTCATCAGCATCGACCCGGGCGAGTTGCGAATCGAGCTGCCGCCCAACGTCGTGCACCTCAAGAAGAAGGTCGAAGGTAACCGACCGCCCGCGCCCCCGCGCCTTGCTTCATTAAATGTAGCTACCACGCTGCAGCTTCGCAAACAATCGGTGTGTGCGTGTGTGTGTGTGTGTGTGTGTGTGTGTGCGTGTGTGTGTGCGTGTGGCTGCTAGATTGTATGGAGGAGTTGAGGAAGGAGGCGCCGGTGGACATGCTGGCGTGCGACATGAACATGTGCGAGGCCCTGCAAGCGATAGAGGTCATGCTGCCGCTCGCTCCACTGCTCCGAAAAGGCGGCTACATCGTCATGACCTGGAAGCTGCCCAAGTACGACACACGACACGACACACGACACAACACACAACACACGACACACGACACACGACACACGCGCGCGACAATGCCGCGCAGCTAACAAAGAGTTGTGGGTTTTTATTGGGGTGCAGGCGCATGGACGTGAATCTGGAGGTGAAGACCGAGGCGCTACGAGTCAACTTCGCCGAGCAGTTCGCTGGTTTCGAGATCGTTCAGGTCATTTGGCTCCTCGCCAACATGTACGAGCGCACCGTCGTTGCGCGCAAGATCGCCGAGTGAGTGTATCGAGATACAATACACGCAAGGACTCTGTGCGTGTCTCGCTCGCGCTCACCAGCGTAGTGTTGCACCAGTTCACTTTTTTGTTGTTATATTTCGTGTGTGTGGTGGTATGTACAGCTTTTCCTTCCGTTTCGCGGCCTCAACTTGCAAGCAAGAAGAGGAGTAACCGCCTTCGCTCTTTCTTTCTTTCTTTTCCTTCTCTTTAGCTTTTCGCTTTCTCTTTCTAAGAGTTACGGACACGTGTAGGTCATGGTACGATGGTGTAGGCCATGTTCATGCCCGCCCTCACGTTCTGCGCCACCTGCACAGGTGTACTTGCGTGTGAGTCCCACCGCGTGTCGTGTATGGCGTGTGTGGCGTGTGCACACACGCAAAATGAAAGAGAAAGGAAGGGCGTACGTACCTGGCACATGAGAACGGTTCGACCGGTGGCCGTGGCCCGCATGTCGAGTATCTTCTCCTCGCCGGGGAAGAGCGTGATGGCGTCCAAAGTAAATATTGACGACGCCTCACTGTTTAGCCCACACACATAAGACCCGTGTCAGCCCGACACGACACGACACGACACGACACGACACGACACGACACGACACGACACGACACGACACGACACGACACGACACGGTACGCTCAGACGTGTACCTGAAAGTGAGGTCACCCATGCGCCCAGGCCAGAAGGGTCGGTGCGTGTCTGTTGTTCAACACCAGACGGACCGAAAAGTCAGACCGAGGTCGGTGGCCGAAGGGAGCAATGCGAAGAGGAGGGGTACCTGATCGTCCGTTGAGGGCGATGAGATACCACCGGGTCTTGGCGTTGATGGTGACGCTGACATTGACCGGCAGATTGCCCCACAGGTACCCGTTGATCGAGTACTTGCGATTCGACTCTGGAGAGCGGTTATTATATTTATTATTAACGATAATCAATTATTCATTATAGTAATGTAATAATAAATATAAATATAAAAAATCTTAAATAAAAGCTGATAATGAAGAGAAGATACCAAGGAAGGCGGCGTTGGAGGGGTCGACGCCTGAATCGGGTCCCAGAAACTGCTCGAAGTTGCTGGCGTTGTAGGGCTTGAAGTGGTACCACCACAACGAGGACAGATCACGGTAATCAAAAGTCAGGAACGGCATGACTCTACCTGAAGTAGGGGGAGGGGAGGTGAAGGCACCTGAGATTCTCGTCGAAGGTGGCAAAGAGCGCAAAGATTTCCTGGTCCATGTCGTTGAGCGCATTGTATGTGATGCCAGTCTTTGCATCCACCTGGTGTGTGCGATTTGTCGTTGTGTGTCGTGTGTGTCGTGTGTGTCGTGTGTCGTGTGTCGTGTGGTCAATTGAAGCAGGCGTCATTAAATGGCAGGCGTGATGCAAAGTACCTTTTGCACGAGATTGCCGGGGAAGGTGATGACAATTGCGCCCACCAGACCCGCAAACGGATTGTTCGGGTCGGCTTGGGAGTAGTAACTGCGTACGTCCGGACGACGTAACACCATCCACGATCAACTACTACTCAGCTCTTCCTTCAACGGTCGGTCATGGAGTGTGTGCGGCGGCGCGTGTGCGGTGGTGCGTGTGCGGTGGCGCGTACCTCCAGATCGATGACGACGGATCTGAGTCGCTGGTGGGTCCGGATCTCGCACGCCACACATAGGTGTGTTGATCGCCTGCCACGTGGCAAGCTGACGTCAGCAACGTTGATGGGTCGGCCACACACTGCATGCGCGAAGTGGTACCGGGAAGAACTGAGCTGGCGGAGGTGACGCTGGCGTTTCCAGTGGGCATGTAGATGTCGGTGATGTAGGTCACCCCCTCCGCCAGGATGCTCAACGGGATGCTCGCGTTGTTCTTGAACACCACCTAGGAGCGTGGGTGTGCGACGTGGCATGTGAGCGTGTGTGCGATGTGGCTTGTGCGCGTGCGCGCGTGTGCGACCAAGCGAAACACAGAACGTGTGGCAGAGTGTGTGCGGCGGCACGAGGCGTACGCGAATCTCGTCGGTGGACTCGGCGTAGATGATGGGTCCCAGGATGCCGACGTGCGCGTGCTGCGGGGCAATCGGTTTGGGCGTGTCGAAGCTCCCGTCTGTGTACTCCCTGTGTCATTCGTGGTTTTGTTAAATATATTATGAATTGAGCTCACAACGGCTTGCGTGACTCGGGTTGAGCGTAGAAGAAAGGGAGAGAGTACCGATAGATGGCCTTCTTGTAGACGGTGCCAATGCGCTGGGGACCCGAGGCCGTGTAGATCTGCGCCACGCTGTCGAAGGGCTCACCTGAAGTGCGAACGGCCATCGACGATGATGGAGAGATGAGCCAACGATCGTAGGAGGCAAAGAGTGACTCATGTGGTTTGTGCGCGAGTGGAGAGAACAGAGAGAGAGAGAGAGAGACGCGGACCAGTGATCTGGTTGATGCCAGAGGGCGCGTAGTCCCACATGACCTCCTCGGCGGCGATGTAGTAGGTTCGCACAGTGCCCGAGCGCGACGTCGTCTTGCCCTTCGGGTCTGATGCATCGTGTAGTGGCGAAAGGCAGAGAGGAGAAGGGAACAGAGAGTTGTGGTGGGAAAGATGAGGAGGAGTGCGAGTAGCAACAACATGACATGTTCGCCAGAGAAGAGATTTGGGGCGAACCAAGGTTTGTGATGGTGATTACGACGGCCAGGAGGGCCAGCACGAATACCACCATCAGCGCCGTCAGCACCACGAAGCGCACCTGAGCTGTGTGGTCTCTGCAGAGGCGTGTGATGATTGAAATTAAATTAAATCTAGTAGAGGATGATACGAGTGCAGAGAGCCGTACTTGTAAAATCGAACGAATGGTCGAAAGAGAGGAAATCTAGCGCATGCCGCGCCACACCGCGCCAGCGGTGCTAGCATTGTTCTTGGCAAGGTCACGTGATTCAGAAAGCCAAAATAAATCTATTAAAAAAAGTGTTGCTAGGTACGCAGCAATATGACTTCTTTCAATTTCTTTCTATTTGTTTCGATTGCAGCTGATCTGAAGTGATCTGCTGCATTCGATCCCTTTGTCCGAAAAGAAGATGGCCAAGGTGCTGAAGGACAAGTTGTTCGGTGATTCGAGCAAGACGTTTCGCCCCAAGAAGCAGCAGCCCAGGGGAACCAAGCGATACGATCTCCATAAACAGGCACCTCGCCCCCCCCCTCACTTCCTTGCTGATCTTTTGATCTTGCCGCCCCTCCCTGGATCCTCCGCTCCTTCGCTTTCGTTCTTTTTTATGGTTTGATTTTTGGATCAATTATAAATATCCTTTTTAATCAACGAAATCATTTTACGTTTTTATTAAAATTATTTTTTTCATGGACGAAGGCCAAGGCAACCCTGGGCAGCGGCGACCTGCGGCTGGCCGTGCAGCTGCCCGAGCGGGAGGACATCAACGAGTGGCTGGCCGTCAACACGGTGGACTTCTTCAACCAGATCAACCTGCTCTACGGCAGCATCACCGAATTCTGCACGCCCAAGTCGTGCCCGGTGATGGCTGCCGGCCCCAAGTACGAGTACCTGTGGGCCGACGGCGCCAAGATCAAGAGACCCATCAAGGTGCCGCACACGCACACGCACACACCGCACACGCACGCACCGCACACGCACGCACGCATGGTGGCTTGACTGACTGGTGTGTGTTCTGTTGTGTGGTGGCACGCTTGGAACAGGTCTCGGCGCCCGAGTATGTAGATTACCTGATGACGTGGGTGCAGGACATCCTCGACGACGAGAGCATCTTCCCCTCGCGCGTCGACGTTCCCTTTCCGCGCAACTTCCAGTCAGGTCAGTTTCCCTTCATCACTTCCACTGGAACCGCCCTTTTTGGCTAAACCTCTCGCGTGCGTGTGCGGTCGCGCGTGTGCGTGTGCGGTGGTGGTGGTTTGCAGTGGTGAAGAACATATTTAAGAGACTCTTCAGGGTCTACGCCCACATCTACTACTCCCACTTTGAGAAGATTGGTGCGTCCAAGCTCTTTACATCACGTGTGTGTTGTCGTGTATCGTGCCGTGTCGTGCGTGTGGTGCGTGATGGTCGCTGACACATGTACGCCCGCAGTGACGCTGGGCGAGGAGGCCCACCTGAACACATGCTTCAAGCACTTCTACTACTTCATCGACGAATTCGACCTCGTGGAGAAGAAGGAGATGATCCCCCTCCAGGACCTCATCGACAACCTCACCCGCCCCAAATAAGCCCCACCAAGTTTGAACTGCCCGCCCAGGCGGTCCTGATGTTGTCGTGCTCAACACGAAGCTCGGTTTATTTTTATTATGATTATGATTACGATTAATTCGGATTTATTTTTATTATTAATCCTAATCATAGCATGATTAGGATTAATTCTGCAGGTTTTTTTTTTTGGCTGGTGATGAAGATTGTGGCGAGTCAGGAGACCAAAAAGGAACAAAAAAGTTGGGTATCTTCTCGATTTTGCGTGTCATCCTTGCGCAGGGGCCATGCTAATCTTCTCTGTATCGTTCCAATTTTAACAGATGGAGCCTCCCTTTCGGGAGGTCCGACCTTGTACGTCGCCGCCTCGGCCTTCTTCAACCTCTTCTCCCGCCACCCTCCCCCGCTTGTGGGACGGAAAAAAGGTAAAATTTAAGAAAAGAAAAGGAAAAGTAAGAAAAAAAGCTGCACGAATTGAGCACCAGACAGACCGGTAATTAAAGATATCCTTACGGCGCAATTACGTGTTTAGCATTCCTCCTGACTTACCTTATGCGGAATTGAACGACCGCGTGACGGCATTGGCTACAAGTTTCGTACCGGAAAACCAAACACCAATCAGAAAAAAGCCCGGTGATGCCTTAAAAGAGAGCCACACTTGAGCTGACAAACCACAGCTTCCAACCAACAATGCAGCAGCACAAGAGCGCAACCGAGTTCACGAAGGACACCGAGTTCTGGGGCAATGTGGCCAAGAAGTACAACTCGATGGGCAACCTCGGCACTCTGCTCGCCGTCGAAGCCTTGCGACTGCTCAACCTTACCGACCAGGACCGGTTCGTGCTTGACGTGGCGGCGGGCACCGGCAACTTTGCCCTACAGGCCGCCCGGGAGCTCAAGCGCCTCCACCCGCAGGGCGGTGCCCAGGTGCTGGCGACCGACTTTGCCGAGGCCATGCTCGGAGCCTGCAAGTTCGAAGTCGACCAACAGGGACTCGGCGACATCATACAATGCAAGCTCATGGACGCCCAGGACTTGGGCGAGATCAAGGACGGCAGCGTGGACGCCGTTGGCTGTGTGTTGGGCGCCATGTTCTTCCCCGACGCCGTCAAGGCATTCAGGCACATATACTACCTCCTGCATCTTCTTTGGTCGCGCATTGCTGACAACCAACGCACACAGGGAGATGCGCCGTGTGCTGCGCGAAGGTGGTCGGGCGGCGATCGTGGTGTTGCACAAGGTGGCCACGGTCTCGTTGATGACCGAGCTCTGCGCCCGGCTCGACGCCAGCGACCAGAGGCCGCCCCTCGACCTGGCCCAAGCGGCCTACAAGCTGGCCGACGCCGATTTCTTCCGGGCGCAGCTCAACCAGGCCGGCTTCGCGGGCGACCACGTGGTGAGCATCACCAAGTTCGAGGGCGACTGGACCGGTCTCGAGGTGGACAACGTCGTGGGCTGGGTGCTCGACAATCCGGTGGTGAGCCAGCGCTACTCTGAGAGGAGGGACGAGGTCGAAGCCACGCTGCGCCAGCTCCTCACCGACCCCGGCTCGCCGTTCTACATTCACGCCAAGTGGCAGAACCAAACCCTCATCGCCCTCGTGCAAAAGTAAGTTGAATATTTTGTATTATCGAAATAAAAACCAAATCGTAGTTGTTGATATTAGAAGTTGGCCAAACGACACCATCATCAGTGGTGCTGGTCGAGGCAGTACTCAGAGAAGCGTTGCCGGGCGGCATCGAGCAGGGTCGTGGGCGTGGGCGGCACTGACGAGTCGGGCAGCAGGCCCGGCCCGCTGCCATCCGAGTTCTCGTAGACGAAGTCGTTGGTGCCAGCCTGTGGGTGTGAGCCAGACTCGCCCGCGAACACGTAGCGCAGCTTGGCCTTGTCCACCACGAACACGTACCTGCCGTGTTGCGTGACCCCCCTTTACCGTTAGAATCTCACCGCACACACCACACGACACGCACGCGATAAAACACGACACACGGCACAGCACGCACTGGTAATGGGCGAAGCCAGGGCATTGGAGGAAGGTGAGCTCGTAGCGGTCGGGCTCGTTGTGCGGTTCGGCCGATGACGACGCCCTGTAGACGCGCACAACCGAGTCGCCATAGTCGCCGCCGCTGGCCGCTACTTGCTCGGTGCGGCGGAGGCCCTCGTCGGCGTCCTCGTGCCACGGACCGGTCGCGGCGTTGAGCAGCTCGAGGCCGGCCCGCACCAGGGCCTCGTCCACTGGTTCGTCGCACACGCTGACGTCCGGCTCTGCGCCCGTGAAGCCCGCGCCGTCGCCGTCGAGCAGCTCGGTGAACTTGTCCCACGCAAATGCGCACGGTTGGCGAGGAGCCTTCTCCTGCTCCGCCTCGGCCTGCTGCTGGTGCTTGCGCTTGGGTGGCATACTTGCTTGCGTGGTTCGCGAAGACTGTTATGTTTGTTGTGTTGCCCTCACACTTGACCTAGCTCGCCGCGCCCCGACCTTTTGGCGGCGATAATGATGATTTCTCCCTGGCCAGTTAAAGATGACGACATAACAGTGGTGGTTACAACTTCCCACAACCCGCGATTGGCGCTCAGATAGTACAGTGGCGCCACTGGGAGCCCGCCACTGCAATAAAAGAAATATTTAAAAGAATATATATTACTGGGAGAGGGCGCTTGTCCGTCGTTTGACGAATTTGGCGATGAAGAAGCCCGTGACGCCGGGGTCGAGGGTGGGATCGAACCGCTGCACGAGCCCGCGCTCGGCCGGGCCGAGCGACGTTGAATCCAGTCCCGACGCGCCCAGACGGGGCACCTGCTCGACGAGCTCCATCTCGGGGAACATTCGAAGAATGAACGCCACATTCTCTTCGTTCTCTGTTCGTGTGTCGTGTCGTGTCGTGTCGTTGGTCGTGTCGTGTCGTGTCGGGTCAGTGTGTCAGTGAGAGGTGAATTGCGGGGGGGGGAGCACAGAGTGGGGGTGGTACCGAGGGGGCTGATGGTGCAGGTAGAGTAGACGAGGGTGCCGCCGGGCTTGAGGAGCGGGACGGCGGTGTGGATGATCTTGCGCTGGTAGGCCGCGTGGGTCTGCAGGGCCGACCAGGTCTGGGTGTCCTTCAGCCGTGGGCGGTTGCCTGGCGTGTTGGCACAACCACCACAGGTTTCAGTTTCGTGTCAACGATTTTTCTCTTGACTATTAGAAAGATGTGGATATATAGCAAGCATGGCTTCTTGCTCGTGTGTTGCGATGTAACGAACTGAGAGGCCTCGTGTACGTACCGAGACCGGAGCATGGAGGGTCCAACAGAATTCGGTCGAAGGTGTGAGCCCGCCATCCGGTGATCTTCTCGCCCACCTAATATTCTTAGGTCAGTTTCATAACACACATGGCACACACGGCGCACTACACGCAATGTAGCCGGATATGACGTACTTGGTCGGGCGCGGAGTCTGCGGGCAGAAGCGCTTTGGTCGCGTCCAAGGTGAGCGCCGTCACCGAGGTGATGCCCAGTCTCTGGCACAGCCTCTGCACTCCCTCGACTGAGATTTGGCGCAAGAGCGAGCGACGCACGTGAGATTGGGTGGTCAGCAGCTGACACATGAACACTCACTCGCGTTTTCTCTCAAGTTCGAGGTGTGAATGAAGCGCACCCTTGCCGACGTTCTTGTCGAGAGCAAAGATGCGAGCGCGATCGTTGGCGAGCGCGGCGATGTGCGTCGTCTTTCCTCCCGGAGCCGCGCACATGTCCAGGATCAGATCACCTGGTCGGTGGTGGCCCACAGCGTGAAGAATTCCAATCAATCATCGCAGCATTCCACGACATTCCAGCAAACCTATCGTCGGGCCCGGTGAGGAATGTGCATACCTGGCTGCGGGTCGAGGAGGTGGCCGACGACTATGGAGGGGATGTTCTGCAGGAAGAGGAGGTCGTCCATCACCCCGTTGAGCGACGGAGTCTCGTAGATCTGCTCCACCTGCAAAGATGATGAGTTGGGTCCTGGTATGTCAGCAATGCGAGGTGAGGAGGCCCGGGCCATCGATGGTACCATCTCGATCGCCACGCCAGAGGTGCCCGAGAACATCTGGCCCCTTCCCTGATCGCAGTAGTGTTGGTCGTTGGTGGAATGTTAAGAATAATCTTCAACAACAAGAAGAGAGTTATGTGGAATGTGCACGCACGCGACGTAAGTACCATGGTCATTCTGCCGTTGCCCACGAACAGCCAGTTGCCCGCGTCGTGTACGAACTCGCCGCGGGTGAGCTTTCCGGTCTTCCCGCCCTTCCCGTCGTCCACGAACACGGACACCATGTCGCCCTTATGCACTGGCGGCAGCAGCGTAAGACGAACAAACAAACACAATGTGAGTCTCGTGCATCACACGCGGGATCGGGTGAGTGCCTGGGCCGTACGGTCGCCCGCCGCTGCGATCACGCCAGCCTGAGGCGCCGTCGATAGAGATCGGGTGGTGCGTTAAGCAATGATTAAGAAATCAAAAATCAAAAATCATAAAAATGAAAGGCGTACGGCGTAGATGTGAGCGCCGCGAAGGACGGCCTCGCCGCAACTGCGATCGACGACCGCCGGTGGATACTTGGGCTCTCGCTTGTGGGGACCCTGTTGGTCGGTCATCGTTCAGCACATGAGTCCAAGCTTGGGCGTTCCCTTGTGTGTGTGTGTGTGTGTGTGTGTGTGTGTCGTGTGTCGTGTGTCGTGTGTGTCGTGTGTGTCGTGTGTGTCGTGTGTGTCGTGTGTGTCGTGTATTGTGTGCGCCGTGTGTGCCGTGTGTGTTATGTGCGCCGTGTGTCGTGTGCTGTGAATATACCGTGCATGGCAGGATGATGACGTCACGCAGCACGGGATGAACTGTGGGCATGGCTTGCTCGCGCTGCGGCTGCTCGGCGCCCTCGTCGCCGCTGGCGTCCGTGGTCTCGGGTCCAGCCTTGGGCGCGGCGCGCTGCAGGTGGTCGGCCAGCTGACGGCACGCCGAGTCGACGTCGGTGCGGAGGCAGTTCACGCGGAGGCTGGTCACGTTCGGCGGCGCTGCCAACACTCGGCGCCACACCTCCACGTCCGAAGTGCCTGTGCCTCGTAACACAATCTTATTTATTATTTATTGTTTTTTTTTGTTGATTAAATTGCCATAAATCTGTATGTACCCTGAGCACTCGGGTGGTAGTAGCGGGCAAGACCCTGCACTGCCGTTGCGTGCAGCTCAATGGCACGCGCTCCCTCCTCGCATTCCATTCAATCAAATCAATAAATGATCTTTTCTTTCACGCAGCAATAGAAAAAGAAAAAAGAAATGTTCATTTATTTATAAGAAAGGTGGGTTCTTTGTGGCGGTTTGTACAAGAAGAAGGTCGCTCGGCGGACGATTCAGCGTATCTGCATGCTCCCAAAGGACAGTGAGCCAAAGTCGCCCAACGTCGCGGCCGCTGAAGGGAAAAAAGAAGGGATTGAACAGCACAGATGAGTGGTACTACCACGACGTCGAGCGACGAGTGTGGAGCGGTGGGGGCGAGGGTGCGCGTACTGCGGGTGGGCGGGAAGACGTTCCAAAAGCGGAGAGTCTCGTCGCCAGCGCCCGTCACGATCGTCTGGCCGTCGGGCGACATCGACAGATACAGCACACGCGTGGCATGGCCCTACACGATGACGACGACGATGATGTTTCATGGATCGAATGGGCGTTAGCGTTAGCGTCGGTACAGATCGTGTGAGCTGATCTCTAGTCGTGTGGTGGCGGCGTACGGTGAGCGTGGCGATCTGGGTCATGGTGGGGTAGCTCCACACGGCGACCTGGTTCTGCGAGTAGCCGTGCGTCGACACCAGTTCGTTGACGGAGACGGACCACACGAGGTTGCACACCTGCGAGCCGGTGTCCACGGCCTGCACGGGCTGGTTGTTGAGCACGTTCCAGAACCGGATGTGCCGATCCGCCGTTCCTCCGCCCGACGCCAGCAGA